TTGGAGTCGGGGAATATTGCTTATTTATTTATTGTTATTGCTTTCGAGAAACATTCTTCTCCTGCCAGATTGCGAGGCACTGCGTCTGCAAGCTGTGCATTTCTCTCTTCTTGAAGACACAAACCAATCAATAACAATAAAAGAAAACTCTCGGAACAATTTTTTTCCATAGTGATGGAAGTTTGCGAAAATCCTTCCCTGATCAAATAGCTAAATTATAGCTGAATCATCTTATCGTTTCATTTATTTACCCTCAAGGGTATTTGTCAATGCATTACATAAGGGGAGACAACAAAAAGAAGAATAGTCGCGATTATGACATATATAAAAAAAAACAAAAAGCGAACAGTTCATATAATAATTCACCACCGATAGACTGCTCAAACCAAAACTCAAAATGATTATACGGAGATTTAGTAGATTAAGCAGTACAACGATGAACATTAAGGTCCGTTCACACTCTTGCGACCTCTTAAACCTGGGTTCCTTAAAACTTGTTAAACCAGAAAACACACTGGGGCCATCTATTGGGAAGCAGTGTAAACTCGGCGGTCCGGCATATTTTTTTTTTTATTTCTCGAGCATTATCCTTTCTTTTTTGGCTCGAAAAACTTTTGACTATGTTATAAACGAGCCTTTCTATGGGTATTACGCACATTTGACCTCGAAAATCCCGCAAAACCTTCGCTCTTGTGAAATGCAGTTCCAGGGTCGCCGCATAGATGGCGCCACAATGTCAGTGTGTTCCCTCATTCTAAAAACATTTAAGAAGTTGTAAGAGACCTCGTCTCTCTCAGTCGTACTCGGTCGCAAGAGTGTGAACGGGCCTTTATTGCTAGACGAGAAATTGAACGGCCAAGCTGCGATTGACGTTAGGAAAAAAAAAACAATTAACTACACAAATTCACGCAGCTCTGCTTAAATAACATAGGATCGGGTTGAGTCACTGCGCCTGTGGGGAAACTGTTTCCGCCTTTTATACACAATGACATAACTTTGCACGGGTGATCAAGCCGGGGAGATATGAACAGTGCAGGTATACAGAAAGATGTCCGGAAAAGTGATTCGCTGCAGCAAATTTGATGGAAAAAGCATAAACGAGAAATCTCGCGTAGATTTTCTAAAGAGGTTAGTTCCAAGTTTCTCTTCAGCTCTCAAACACTTGTTAGGGGAGCGTATACTCCCTGTAGATGAAACGCGCAGACTTGTTTTGTAAAGGTTCCAATATTAGGGTTAAATTATGTTGGCGATGATTTCATGTCGTGCTGGCATATTTGAGTCTCGGAAGGATAATTGACTTACAACCACGAATAAAACCAGAATAAAAGTTGAGTGAAAAAAAATAGTTTGTTGGATGCATTATTGACTATTATCTCTATGGGTGTTCCAGAATAAATTGTTGGCGAAATTTACTCCTAAGTACTTATACGATGTCACATATTCAATGACTTGGTTGAAAAACCAAGTCAATGCAAGCCCGACGCTTTGCATCGCGTAGTGCCAGAGCGCAGACTTCATTTTTAGGTCTAAACGGATGTTCCGCCTCATCATTCGCTGGGCTGATTTCGTAGATCGCAGAGATTGGCTCTGAGTGCTTTGTGGGTAAGTAGACGCACAGGCATTTCTTAGAGTTCAACGTCAATACGTATTATACATGTGCATTGGGCTATTTTAGCGCTGTGTTCGACGTAATGAATTCTAAAGAAAACTCTCTGGCACATATTTCCCCACATCCGATTGTGAAACGTTCCAAACTTTTTATTCTGTTACAACACTAAGCAATATGTACTCTGGTAATCGAGCACGAACAGAAAACGGATTTGGATTTTCCTTTTGGAATGCATTACCAGAAGTCAAATTTAGACTGGTTGCTGTCAGCTTCAAAATGCAACAGCACACTAGCGCCATCTGAGCCTCTAGTTTTTATTGTAACAACTCTATCATAATCACAAACAATTCCGGCAATTTTTTTCTCTTTTTTTTTGTTTATCCAGGAGGGAAAAAGAAAAGTAGATCGTGCTACAAGCTACAGTTCTCACTAATTATCTTCCAGGTACATACCCTCGTTGACATTTCAGAACAGCCCGAAATCTTTCAACAACAGACAAGTCCGTGATGCGTTCTTCCGGCGGCACCTCTAAGCCGATGTCACACTCTGCTCCTACATCGTCCAAGATACACTGTCTCCACTGCAGACATGATGAAAGAAGTACCTGCGGACACGCCTGAAGCATGTTCGGAGCACGTACGTCCGCTGCGAACATGTGATCCCGGCTTTAGAAGGACCTGGAGTTGGTCTCGAGAAGACGGCGATGAGCAGCAGAAAGTGGTCCTACTCCCTGTACTCTCGGAAGCTCCCGCACGCGTACTGCTCCGCGATGCACTCGGAACGCCAATCGTAGGCTTTCCTTCGATCAGCTAGCCAATGAGAAGGACGAGCCGTTTTGCGTCCGGTGGTGACGCATCCTCGGTGAAACACGGGCGTCTACACCCTTCAGACCATATGGTATCGTAAGATGCGAATTGCGTAGCCTCGAGCCACCTACGGCTCCTCCCCCTTCCCCAAGCCGGGTAGCGACTCGCCCCGTACAGGAGGCCAACATCTTTCCCGGCTTTCCCTTTCCTTCTCTGGACCTCAAAACAAGAAGAAGAAGAGGAGGAGGTTGTGCTCGTACACAAGCTCGTGTTCGTGCGCCTAAAGCATCGTTAAAGGGACGGTGCAACGATTTTTGTACTTTGCGTAAGTACCACTTAGAATGAACCATTGACGTTTATTGATCCCTTCAAACGTTACGCCCTCCTACGGTCGGGGTCAAAATACTACGAAGTGGCGTGCGATAAAGACACCATTAAAATATGCGAGTTTATCAATTGTGTACAATCTCGGCGGCAGTATGTTCCGATATCGTGTGTGTATTGAGGGGAGTGGCAACTTGGAGATCGATTGACTGACCAGTTTTTAATCGAGTCACCTGCTCTAACACAAGGCTTTCGTTTATTCCGCAGAGAGATTATTTACCCCATCCACTAAAACTTTTATTTTGATTTATCTTATTTTATCATTCTGGAAAGTTTGAGATGCCACCACAGGGAAACGCTTTCACGCGTATCGGCAACACCGGCCACGCTACGACCGCCCCTAAATTTAAGTGCATCCTAAACCGTTCCCCTTACTTCACCATATCGGTATCGGGCATTGTTATGGGAGAGCAAAAGCAAAACGTCCTACAAGAAAGTCTGAATAAAAAAATAATAAATAAAAAAATTAAACGAAACACTCAATTGCTTTACGCTGCACTAGAAAGTTTTAGTAGACCGTTTCGATAATTCCGATAACGATACCCGACAATCGTCTTGCGTCTTTGCGCGTACATGGTTTAGTTATCGGCCATCGTTATCGAAAGTAGCGGAACGATCTGCTAAAACACCCTAATGAACCGTATGGACCCGGGTTCAATGAGGATTCGGAGTCCACGACTTTAAGCATAGGTACTTTTACTGCCACAGAAAGCCGGTCGCTTTGCTGTGGAATGGTGTACAGTATATGTAGAGAGCCACTTTGACTAAGGTCGGAGCATGCACGCCATTATATAGGCGCGCCCGCCCGGCCCCCGTGTCTTTACGAATGCAGGGCACGCGGGCATTCGAACAGGAAAGCTGTTCCAAAGGTACGGAACGGTCTTCCGTGCCCTTTGCTCAGATCCGCGTAGACACGGGCGGCGGAAGACGGTTTAGCTGGCTCCGTAATTAAAATAAGTTGGCGTCTACACGGCAGAATAATCGACCGGTGTGTGCGTAGTCTCCAGCCAACAATGGGGTACGGGAGAAAGCGTCTTCTTCGCCAAAGGAAACTTGCATAGGTAACCGAAAGCACGTCCGGATCACGGGCAAATCGAAATTCCTACGACGATCTCGCTCAGACACTCAACCGGTTCTTTGCTTCATTTCTTTTCCTCGTGTGACGTCCGAAAAGGCAGGTACGGGCGAGGCGAGCAACTCGAGGCCTGAAGCCTGACCGTTTCGAAATTCTCAGCTTTCTCAGAAAACGCGAAGCTTCTCCCCCACACCCACACACACACACACACACAACATAAATAAATAAATAAATAAATAAATAAATAATAAAAAGCCGGGGAGCAAACATTCCCTGTGCCCGTCGACCGAACCCCTCCCTCCAACCTCCTTCAATGTTGACATTCACATCGCTCCGCTCCCCCATCGCACAAAACAACAACAACAACAACAACAAAAAAGAAAAGAAGAAAACACGCGTTTTCAAGGAAGTGTTGTTCAGCGGGAAGCACGCTTGGACGCAGACAACAATATGTTGTTTACATGCTACTCCTCAACCCAACACATCGCTCGGTGCAGCATGACGATGCATCATCGGCATTTGAGGAGCATCAGCCAAACGATCAAGATACACAAATAGATCGCACTTTTGGGTTGTGCTGCGCTTCATGGATAGAACATACAGACGTCACGAGGATCCCCGCTGCAGTGAACCATCGACTACACAGTATCTTTAGCACGAAGAACGCTCATGCAAGTGAAACACCAAGGGCAAAGCAACACGTTCTCGGGCATTCTGCACACTGTCCGTAACGTATTCTCGCGCGAGCCGTGTAACTCATTACATGTTACGTTGCAGTGCGAACTCGTTCTACACTCACCGTCACATTCAAAACCACTTTACCGTCACGGGAGAGCGCGTTTGACCCCCAAAATACGTCGACGTATCTTCGGGAGAAAAAGAAAAACGCGGCGGTGCCGCCCGCCGCCGCCGTCGGAAAGCAAAGACCGGCGTCGTTTCCTTCGACGCACACTGCCGTCTCCCCCCATTCGCGCTGCATCTGCCACTTCCACGAACACACAGATCACGTCAACAGAACTCCGGCGCATCCCGCGTCCACAACGAGCAAAGCACGGCCACGGCAAGCGATCGGAAGCTGTCCCAGTAGTCTGGATCAGAGACGGAAAGACGCTGTGTGCGGCCGTACCTGTGACTTTGCCATCGGATGGTGGACTCGGCGCATCCCGGCAGCCGGGCGAGTCGCTGTTTACGGGCTCCACGAGGAACGGACAGCCATGCCGCCTGCGCTGCTGCTGAGGGTACCACGTTTCGCTGCATCAATCGGGGTGCAGTGACACAGCTGTGCGCGTAATGTCCGTCAATCGTGGTAGCGGGGACACGGCGGAACATATGTATCGGGGACCAACACCACACAGCCGCCAGAGAAGCAGCAGCGAGCTGCGCCAGGCTGCGCACAGCGGCGGCGGTCGTTGCGCTTTTTTTAATTGTTTTTATTTCGGCGCTTAACCGCACCTCTCCGCTCCCAGCGCCATCTCGATATACCTTGGGAAAATGCGAGCCGAGGCGGGAAGGTTTGAATGTGCCGCTGCTAGTTTGACTGAAGCTTTGACTGGTTGCCGCAGGTTGCTGGAGCGGCCTGCGTTGAGTTTAACTTCATTTCGCCTTAAGTCCATACGCCGCTGACGCACTCTAAAGAAAAAAAAAAAAGTGTAGCCCTTACACTCTTTGTTACATATACGACACTTCAAAACTTCATTTCGCCGTACAGTGCACTGACATCAAACTGATGGCCCCAAATTTTATGAGAGGCTTGATGACGGTGCGATATACGATATTAAACAGCTACATTACGCATCAAAGAGCACAGAAAGAAACAAATAACACGGAGGTTTCGCAGTAGGACCAAGCAAACCCCGATTACTGTTTTTTACAGTCAGTTACACTTACTTAAGCTATTTAATCAGCTGTACAACTCGGCTATCAAGACGTTCATGAAAGTTGGTAGCGTCGGTTGAATGTCAGTGCTATGTACGTCCAACTGAAGTTTAGGGATGTCGTATATGAGACAAGGGGTGCAAGGGCTACACTTTTTTTTTATTGTGTTGAATTACTTTTCGGCAGCTATTTAGTTGGGCTGCCATAACTGTGATTCACTTTTTGTTTCCTTCCAATTCGTTCGCTTCATTTCATTATGTCGTCACGACTGGAGTCACGGTTGGAGGCATAGCTGTGAAATCATAATGATTTCACGGTTATATGGTTGGTTTTCTTCTTCCCTTTGTTTACTGCCTTTCTATATCCCTTTAGCTAGATCACGGCTGGAGTTTAGCTCTGTCATTTGGAATTCCATAACTCTTACGCAGGCTACTGCGATCGAAAATGTCCAGAAGCAAATTTTTATAATTGTTTACTATAGGTCAATTGGCAGAAAGTATTTCTACCATTAATAATCATTGCTTCACCTGTTACTATTGCATAAGCTGTCTTTGAGGCAACAGTACAGATATTTTATAATTTTACAGAAGGTAGTTTCTGGAGATGTGAATTCGATGAATTTATACCAGTCTGTTAATTTGCATGTTTCGACCCATGTCAGTCGGAAAATATAAACTTTTTACCCAGCTTGTATGTCCTATGCGTCACCTTTATCAAGGGTACAATTAGCTTTTAATGCTGTCCGTGAATCTAACCTTGATAGTTTTACCTCCCAACTCGATTTCATCCAGCACGAGGCTCTTCAAGATCTGACATTGAGAGGGAAGAATGTCGTACCAGAACATCAGTGCGACCGGTACGTTTCAGAATACACTCAAACACACATCTCTCGTTTTTATTCTTCCTAGTCCCGTACCTAAACAGTTCGCAGTTTCTTCTTTCTCTGTTTTGGGTCTGTCAACACCCTCTCGCGCAAGCAAAGCTGGGTGTGTCTCGAGTAGATGAAGCTTTTGAACCGGACTTCTTCATAAATTACCGTCTTTGTCTTTGACGAGAAATGCTCTTATGTACCCATATTTTCTGATGTAGGCCTCCGTTACTCTGGCGAGCTTCCAAAAATATTTTGGGCATCTTTGTCTTCTAACGGTACTGCGTCATCAATTTTCAATGAACCTGACTTGATATTTGATTCTTCATGAGCTGATCGCAGCTGAAAGATGTACTCCTGGCTCCAACGAGTTTAAAAGCGGTCCCTAACCAGCTGTCTGTGCCTGAGACTCCAGGTAGCTACCCTCAGAGTCATGAACTTGGGGAGTTCAGGGTTTGAATCGACTTCCGGCAGAACGGTGAGGCTTTGTCCAATCAGAAAACGAGCTGGGCTGACTGGTGTCGGTTCTTCGAGGTCGAAGTAAACATACGTTAATTTATAATAGCCTCGACTTCCATCAGCACCATTGACAGTTCTTCAAAACTGACACTACTTCTTCCAAAAACATTCCTTTAAACTGTCTTTGCTAAACGAACTAACCTCTCCCACCATCCACCCCGCCAAGGAGCACTTTGAACATTAAATTTCCCTTGATTTCTCGCTTACGCAAGGTATGACGAGAAGTCTGGGTGACTCAAATAATTCCAAATCATGTTTAAGTCAGTCGAAAAATTCTTGAAGCATTGTCGGAGTAAATAATACTTGGTGTCCCCCTCCGGGAAATGAATCTTCGAAATGCAAGAAGAAAGGCTTCAGCAGAAAGCTCGCTTGAGAGCTCCAGATGGACAGCCCTTGTGGTCGCGCACGTAAACAAGACAATATATGCTTTAGAGTTGTTAGTTTCTACATTAGCTTGCTTCGCATATAAAGTTCCGGCGAAGTCTATGCCATTATTGTCAAACGGTCTTGTAATATTTACTCGCTCCGAAGGTAGAGATCCGAATGGAACCGGTGTTGGCTATGTACAGAATCTGGAACATAAGAGGCACTTCCTGGGAGTCTTCTTTGCCAACTGTTGAGCCCTAGGGATCCGAAACCGCTGTCGTGGAGGGATCATTGTGCTGGATACTCCTTCATGGCCAACTTGATAATGAACATCCATAACAATAAGCTCTCTCAGATGATGGTTGTTTGGTAGTATGATTGAATGTTTTCAAAGAGCAAGGGGCATGTAATTTTTGCAGCCGTGCTGTTATTTTGAGTGAGTTATTGTCGTCGAGAAATGGGTGCCGGCATGAGAGAAAAGGGGTCCGTTTAATGTACCGCTTGCTCGATAGCAGCTCAACCTTCCTCGCGAAGGCTTCTCCTCGAATATGCTTTATCCTGTATCGTTCTGCTGTAGCGTATTCTCCTGCTTCCAACTGCCCGTCTAGTCTATTTTCTTTAGAGCTGCTGTTACGCGCAAATCTCATCACCCGTGCTGTGATTTGAGGTACTTTCTGAAGTCTGTTAACTTCGTCACATCAAAGAGTACTGTAGTTTCCCGAGCTTCTAATGGGAGATATATGTGCGCGGTGTTCAACTCTTTGATTTCGAGCTGGATGATCTCTTCTGACTGATGTGGGCTCTCCGGCCAGTCACGTGTCTCTAAAATGAGCAATTGGGGCCCTTTCCACCACTGTTCACTATCGCGACGATTTGTAGCAGAATTTCCTCTCGTGAGTAGGTTAGCTGTGTTTGTTTCTCCTTGCAAATGTCTCCATTCGTCTGGCACGGTCATAGCTTGAATTTCAAGAACTGGTTTTTTGACGAAAGGCTTCCTCTTGCTTGCCGACCCTTTCCTCCAACCGAGCAGAACGGTCGAGTCAGTCCACATGGTGTATTTTCTTTAACGTAAGTATACGTGCTGCCAAGGTATTCCAGCAACCTTGTCCCGATCAACGCTCCCATGAGCTTCAAGCGTGGCCAAGTCAATGCCTTGAGAGGTGCCACTCATAACTTCGCGGTAACTAATCTGACGACAATGTGTCCGCTGTTATCTACCATTCTGAGATAAGCACAGGCTACGTAGGTGTGCGTGCTTCAGTCAAAAAAGATGTGTAACTCCAGCTCTTGGAACGGTTCTGTTAGTCCATTCTTAATGTGCCTTGGTACATGTATCGAGTAAGGCTGAGGAAGTTCTGTGCAGTAGTTGTGCCATTCAACACTTAATTCCTTTGGCAGGTTTTAATTCCAATTCACTCCTAATGCCCATAGCTTCTGGAAGTGGAGTTTAGCTCGTACTGTTAAGGGGGTTAATAAATCCTATGGGATCAAATATGCTTGACGCGGCTTGAAAGATGGAACGTTTGGTGTCCACTATTGTGGACTGGAATGATGTAAGAGAGTCAACCGAAAACCAAAAACCCTCACTGCCTTTGTTCCACATTATCACGAGCACCTTGGAGACCCTGGACAGCCTAAAGGTTTTGTCTGCCGGTACCGCACCTGTTTCAACGTCGTTCATTAACTGCTGTACATATCCGACGTTTGAAGCCCATTTTTTCAGTTTTATGCTCGCATCATTGATGATTGAGTTGGATGCTTTGTACAGTGCAATCGCTTCCTGAACCGTGTCTGCACCTGTTAAAATGCTATCTGCATAAAACGAGCTTCGCAACTTTTCTGCAATTTTCTTGTCAGAAACCACCTTCTTCAAGTGGTACTGAATCATCCCGGAGAGTAGAATTGGACGTGAGGTTGCCCCAAATGGGGCTCGAGTAATTCGCCTCTCCTGCAAGCCTTCTAAATCAAATGGCAAGGTAGTCTATTTTGCAAACCACAGTAATCTGACCGCACCGCAATCTCCTTGTCGGATTTCTATCCCCAGAAAAGCCTTCCCGATATCGACAGTCAATGCCATCCCATACCATCTGAAACGAAGCAGGATGCGGAAGACGTCTGGATTCAGCTTTGGCTTCTTTCAGAGGCAGTCATCGAGGTATTTACACAATTTTTTATGCGATGATGCACCATGCACTGCCCGTAACATTGTGGAGGTGGAGCATTCACGAATAACTTCTCGGTGTGGCATGTAATAGACGAGTTGCTTTGTAGCACCTTCGAAGTCGGGAAGTACTACTTGCTCATGACCCAACTCCATGTACTGGCGGATGGCGCTCTTGTATCGATGGAGTAAACCTTCTTTAGATGAAAGTCGTTTTAGGAGGGAACGCGAGCGTGAGACTACGATTTCTTGATTGTTCTCGAAGGCCTCTGTGCCCCCTTCCTTCCAAGAGAACACTCCTTTGTACCGTAGACCATTTTTAACCATATTTTTCTCGAAACGCACGGAGAGGTTTAGGCTGTCGTCTTGAGCTTCCTTAGCCAAGATTCCCATAGTGTCAAGCTCCCAGGAACATTTGAGTACTTGGGATGTGGTTTCATCCTCCGTCAAAGTTTGGGTCCTTAGGACTCATACTATCAAAGTTGATGCTGACATCAAGATTCCGCCTGATATAGATGGCCCCGGCAACGTCCGGCCCATTTTCTTATTGACTGCTACCAGGCCATACTTTTCGTTTCACTTAAAGACCTCTCCCGTAGGAGTTTCTAAATTTGATCGGGGC